AGATTCTCCTTCGTCTTTGTCCTTTGCCGCTTTTTTTCCCCGTCCTTGTGAAAATCTTCTGCAGCATATTTTATCTGGAGACAGAAGTTTGTTTTGGTCACTGTGAAACAGCGTCTCTGGACAGGTGGCCTGCATTTGGATTGGGTGAATACATTTGTCTCACCTTCGTTGACGTGGAGTCATTTGAGGCTGTCAGAACTGATCACAGCCGAAGTCCAGGTTCTGTGGTGTGTGCGTGTTTTGTTGTCTTTATGTTCAATGTAGCTAATTAACATATGAACCGACCTTGTACCCGACCTTCAATCCTGTGCTTGACAGAAGTGTTCATTTGTAAAGGTGAAGGTCAGCAGCCCCCTCCCTCCCCGTCTCATCCCCCAACACACACGTCCAGTCAGCCTGTCCACCCACTCACACCTACTCTGCTTCTCCTTCCCTGTCAGAAATGTCAGTGCGAGTCCCTCCGTGAATTCTTATGGAAGAGGGCCTGTCTTTCATACTTTCTGTCTGGATGGGTTCACTCACGGACAGCACAAAAAAATATTTCACTTCAGTCTCCTCCTGACAACGGTGCAGTTTAGACTTTCCTCCTGTGTGCGTCTGCAGAGGTCAGCTGGGGTTGGTGTGACGTAAATATGATGCCAAACCTGTGTGCACTGGTCCACGTGGAGATCATGCAGTTTAGGACAGCCTTCTACCTGTGCTCATCTGGATCATGTGAACCAGATCTGTTTCAGTTGATATTTTAATAATAATAACTGTCAATCAGAAAGAACTATTAGCCATGATACAACCACTAATTCATCACTAGGGTTTTTTTTCAATATAATTATAATAATGTTTGAAAAGCATTCAGTTATGACTTACTTTGTAAGGTTTTGGTTTCAGACTCCGACTGTTCAAAACCTGTGGTAGAGGCCCAGGTTTGTTGCACTGAAGATTCAAAATAGTTCATATTAATTCAGACAGAATTCTTCTGCTGCACCAACCAACAGACTTACGCAACAAAAATAGAGTTTTTTCTCATTTGTTCAGCTGACAAACTGACAGCATTGTGTTGACAGCTCCTTTAACAATACATCACAAAGAATGGTCTATGAAATACTGCTTTGGAATCTGTGGGGCTAAACAGAGATTTATAAGCTGTACTGTTTCTAATAAACCTTCCAGTGGTCTGTGGCTTGAGGTTCTGGTAGATGGACACAGGATTCTAGATGTTGTAGGGTTTCATTCCGTCTTTGTTTGTTGTGGCTGTAACGTACACCACGGTGGTTAAACCGTGCATCACATCAAGCTTTTCTGTGTGTTTTAGTGACGTGAGCTCTGTCTTTTTGTTGATCCACACAAGTGTCCTCCCAAAAGAGTATAATGTCAAGAGCGGGGAGGGGAGGTAGGAATATTGGTGATGGGACTTGTTTGTTTGCAAAGTGCTTCTCTCATGTCACTCTCCACTGTCATGGACAAAGGGACTTGGAGTGGGAGATAATGTGTCTTAGCTCTCATGGGAAAAGGTTATTTACTGTTTTCTAACAGCCAATCATACATGACAGGACACTTCAAGTCCAATAGCACTCAGCCTCTCCTGCTAATGATGCCCTTTAATAACCCCAGGGTCATCAGAGATGGAGTGCACCCCATACATATGTATCTGCATAACAGATCGTCCAGCAGACAGACAGGGACAGGTGGCCGCAGCTGGAGAGAATCAAGACATCAGGACACACTGGATGAAATTTCCTGACCTTTGTTCCCTTTTGGCTGGGCCTTTAGAGCAAAGCTGTACACAAATAATGTTGAACCCAATCGAAGTGGACGGCTGAGCCAGCTGCTCCTCACACCAGTGTGTCAGACCTATAATTTACTGTCTTACGATATTGCAGTTACAGCTGCCACAAGGTTTGGTCGTAAAGAAGAGAGATTGACTTGAATGGCCAGGAAAACAGGAGGAAAAAAACATTTGTGGACATATGGGCTCGTATACACGTGTATACACACAAAGACATGTCATTAATTACAGGACCAGACTCCCTGACTGTGTGTAATGGGTTTTATAAAAAATAAATAAATAAATAAAAATAATATATTTGACACACATTCTAGGTTTGTGTCCATGTCCCTTTACTAGTCTCTTACACACTTATTTTTGACATTCTTACCTCACTGTGTTTTTGTCTTTAGTCTTTTCTCTGTAGTAAAGCGTGGGTTTAAGCCGTTAGGCTCGAAGCTCATTAATAGCCGACTGAACGCTCCAGTGGTTTGTGTTTCACTGGGTTTTCCCGTCTTATAGAGTTTGAATAATAATCAGCAGCGCTTGGTTTTTAAAGCTGAAACTGGATTTGCATTCATCGTGACTCTTGAGAGGTTAATAAATTATGTGGCTTTCCGCAGTCTTTGACTGACGTAGATGTGACTGATATCATATTGATCTGAAGGATGACAGTTCGGTCTTTGCAAATCTATAACCCAAATGACACTTCTGACAAGGTTTGACTTTTCTGACTTAGTGTAAAATTATTTTTACTGTCAAAACTGTTTCAAGACTTTCAGAAGAAGAGCCGACAAACTGGAGGGTGAGGAAGTGAAGTGATGGAGTGCACTTGAGAGCACGAGCAGAGAGTGTGAGGGTGGACGACGGTGGACGAGGAGAAATGGGTTGATTTGCAAAAATTATAAAAAACTGACGTGTGTGTGTGTGTGTGTGTGTCTGGTGTCTTTGACAGTAACATTCACACGTTCTCTGTCAAAAGCTCCCCTCAGTTTTCTGCTGCTAGTCCTCTTTTGCTTTGCCTCTCTGCATCACAGATGACACAGACGGTAAGAAAGGTTGACACACACACACACACATATATTTACACACATATATTTATATTTTTCCCTTTGAAATAGTAACAAAAGACAGCAAAGCTACATATTTGAAATCACTCAAGGATTTTATTTAATGTAATGCATATCTACAGAAAATATTTAATGCTAAATTAACTCATATTAGATTAAAATACATTAGAATAAAATCAAATTTTGTTTCAACTGTGAGCTTGCCCAACTATTATTTTGGAAATATAAAAAGTAAGCACCAAAGTCGAGATTACAGTAAATTTCCCTAGGTTAGCTGTTTTGCCCCTCCATGTAAGGGGTGTGGGCGAGAGAGGGAGGGAGGCTGAGCAGAGTGAAGTTAAAGGAATTGTATATCAAATATCACAGTTGCTTATTGGTCTCCTCTCATGCTTCACAGACGAAGCCGCAGATTATTAACTATGAAAAGACTTTCCACAGAGGACTGATTCAATAAAAACCACATTAAATGTCATCACTGACACTCAAAGATTTAAAGTGATGAATTGGTTTGTCTTTAATGCCCCTAACTCCCCACAGCTGAATCTTCACCCACGTGCCTGTCGATAAAACTGCTGCGAAAGCCGTCCATCTGCATGTTTGACTGGTGTGTGTGTGGGCGGGAGCTGTTTTTTTCCCAGCAACTCACACCGCGTTGTGTTTGTGCGTGTCCTCTTTTCTGGGATCTTACTGCTGTTTATCTACCTATCTTCTTCTCATGTCCATATATGTCCAGCAAAGATGCTGCGTGTGCTGTGGTGTCATGGGAGTCTATCTGCGTGTGCGTGTGCGTGACCTCAGTGCATGTCTCCGCGATGGCAGACCTGTCTAAAGTACTTAAAGGGGACAAAGCAAAGAACCTGGGGCTGCGGCGTCACTGTCATATTATAGCAGAGCACACAGTCGCTGGTGTCTTCCTGTGTACACACACACACACACGTGTGCACAAGCAAACACACACACAGCTACCTTCTACTGTGGTTGGCACCTGTCACAATTAATTGCTGCAGACAAGAAGAGAAGATAAGGATTCAGATCAACACACACACACACAGTCACTGTCTGTGTTTCATAGATCTACAATTCATAATCCAAGTGCCTAATTGGAGCATCAGGGCGGAGCACCTTTTTTAGGTTATCCCTTTTTGGTTTCGTACTCGGGTGGGTTCAAAGTAGGCTAAAAAAAATGGGACCAACATGGATGTGTCTGAAGATGCAGTTGACCCCGTTCACATCCGTGCATGTTGTAGCCCAAGTAAACATCTTTAGGTTGAGGTGAGTGTGGTTGCTTTGTGGTAAGATCAAAAAACATTTTATTAAATATAAAAAGGGAAAAGAAATACCATTATTGGGTCGATTGAAATATACAGTGGTAACACATCATCTGTGCGGTGCTGCTGCCCCCTGTCTTTGTTTTCTTTTTTCTGTTCAGGACTTTTCAAAGTTGCCTGACCACAGCAGTAGACTGTGCAGTTATTGTTGGATAGAGCATTAAGATTTAGATGAGGAATTAGATAAATCTGATGTTTGTCTGTTAGACAGACTACACGTCATCATGTGCATCATCAATATCAGAGCAGAAACTGTAACACAACCATGAATAACAATAACATGAAAAACACCAATCAGTTCAATATTCACTATTAGCTGATACATGGTCACCCTAACAAAGCGGACCAGCTACAGTACCAGTATGAGTTTAATTAAACAGCCTAACTAAATCCTCGTCATTAAGCTAACCTCAACTGGTTGGAACAAATGGTTCTATTTTAGAAATCATAGGTTTAATTAGTGGACGTAAGTAGATCTGCCATGTGTTTAATTCATGCCTCAGGCTCCATTCAGACTGAAGGCTCCAAAGTGTGTATGTGTATTTTTTCTGGTGTGACTCAGTTGAGTTTTTTTAGCACATAAAAATGAATGGCCCACTTTTGTCCCAATCACAAGTGGAAAAAAGCAGGTGATTGGTTGGTGTATTTTTATATCCTTTTACTGTGGCTCATCTGTTCTGCCCTACATCGTGCGTCTGGACCAAATTAAGTTGTATGTGGAAAAAATAATTTGTTTTTTTTTCAGCAGAGAGGAACTGGTCCTGATAGCCTGGTACATGACTTGTACTTTTTTGTTTAAACCCTCGTCTGATTTCTCTCTGTGTGTCTGCTTCTCTCCAGGTCTGAAGACCTATCTGATCTCTGGCAGGAAGATGGAAACTCACTCACACTGCACATGCTCACAGTTGGGGTTGGCTGGGATAGAGAACACAGATCCTTGGTGTCCCACACCCAGACTCCACACCCCTGATGGGGCCCCGTCAGCTTGCACCACAGGCCTTGACGGCTCCAAGGTGAGTGCACACCAAATCTCCATTGATGCTGCAGGTATAATCAGTGGAATCATTTGAATACAATATCTATTAGATATAGATCTATAACTATATAGATCTATATGATGCCTGGTTTCTGCCTGTTCTAATTCACATGACACCGTTGGACATCTAGGATGTGTTTTTCATCTCCTCCAATCAGCTGCCTGTCCACTGTGTCTTCCATCTTCTATGCTGCTGTCACTTCTTTAAGCTTCTACAAAAGAGCTTCAATGCACCACTAGTCTGTTCAGTCTTTTCTTTTTTGAGATAAAAGCGTCATCTTTGTAGTTTGATGTTGTTATGAATGAGTCTGTGCTTTATATAGTACTACAGAGAGAGATATTTATAGAACATTTTGTAAAGATCATTGTGGATGTAAAAAAAAAAAAAGTAATAGTAATAGTAATAAAAACAGACATTTGGATCTTATCCCATGTTGTAACCTGCTGATTTCTGGAGGCGTAAAAATATTTATGACTTATGACATATAAAGGGACAAAACCTTAATTATTAATAATTATTGAAATGAGAGAAGCTCATTTTTAAAAAAAAGAAATTATCAACACCCTGCAGCTCTGTATGACGCCATCGCCACAGTTTCTGATCCTGGGGCAGATCTTTCATGTTCCTACATAGCAGTGGGGGGATGAGAGTGGTTGGGAGGGAGTCAAGAATCTGATTAAATCAAGGTAGGAAGGTTAAGACGGAGGCTGGTGGTTGTGAGGAGAGGCAGAAGAATCAGCAGGGATCCTGCACATGGTAATGAGCTCTCTGAAGCAGAAAGCCTGAATTCTCCTGTGTGGCTCTCACATAAATACAGGTGTGGCTGTAATACTGCAGAAGCACAGTCAGAACCCTCAACAACTCTGAGGCCAGAGTCAAAAATCAGCAGGGGCTCAGGAACAAAAATGGTCTTAAAATATCTGGAATTGGCCTTAAAGTCCTCTTCATGGAGCCTTTGATAATCCCTTGAAGTAATATTAAAAACTAAAAATAAAAAAATCCAACAGGATTTCTCTAGCAGACACAGCTCTGGGGTCATGACGAAAATTGATTGTTATATTTAATGCGTAGTCGTTTAAGGTAACAGATTAGTTAAGAAGGATCTTAAGGGGATATAATTTATATAAATAGATACAATTATTTCCCTTTTTGATGTATCTCAATTTTATGGAATTAAAGACCTAAGAGAAAGCAGTTTGTAGACTTTGTTTGTAATAATTTAATTTTGTTCAGATTGAAAGACTGACAAAAATAGTTCACATAGTGCACAGATACGACCATCGTCTATATTGGTGCATGTTTTTCTGCAGGCATTTGGACACAGACCAGAGCAAACTATCTATAACTAACTACCTATTACTGTAAGGAAACATTATAAAAGGGAGTGTGGCCATTCAACCATGTCAGGTTTTATTTTCACAGTGCACCGTGTCACTGTAATCTTTTTACTATTAATTTCATTGAAAAAGATCTGTATATGTGTATGTTGAAGAATTGAAGAAACAGAAACAGACACAATAGTAAGTAGATGTATAAGAACTGTAGAGTTTCTTTTCAGATTTAAAAGCTGAGGTTTGCTGTGTTTCTGCAGCTCTGTTGTGACTCCAGCTGGAACACGTCTCTTTATCAGCCCTTTACTTGATCTCGATCACTGGTCGTGTTCACGTTTTTCCTCTGTCCGTATGTTCTCCTTGATCTGCTTTTTATTTATTCTTTTTCTTCTTCTCT